GCATTTCGTTTTCAACATTCAAGGACTGCTTCATTTGTTCTTCTGTTCGTTCAGCTCGCTTTTTTCAGCTGCATTCGGCTCAATCTTGTCTAAAATATATGAACAAAAATCGTTAGTTCAGTGCAATTCAACATAGCAATAAGCTTGCATTTATAAATAGTAAGATAGTTCTACATAATCACGATGTTTAAAGGTTAATTAAGAGAATAAAATCTGTATTAAACCATTTCCATAAAAAGGCCAGTGAGTGACGTTATTATTGCACCCTTGTTTACCAATTTAATCTGTTACGATAAGCACTACATACTTCATGTGGTACAAAGACTTATGCTATGGTCTTACAATACAGTGAAAGCTAAATTCTAAAATGTATACCGCTTAGCAGTTTTTATTGATGGAACATAAAGACAATGGAATCAACAAATATTTAAAGAACCCCTGACTTGCAGATGATATAAATTATTCCCTGGGAAAATTAACAAAAAACTTAAACGCTCCGAACAGATGAATACATCAATTAGGAAACAAAATGGTACTTGAGATAAAATTGACATAGGTAAAGTCTATACTTTTGCAAATCATCTATGCGAGGTATTTCAACTGCATCAAAGGAAAGTCTCAGCCAAAGAAAAGGCAGCTATTTATAAAGTCGTAAATACACGATTTCAAATAACTCCGCTTATCAAATCTGTTCAGAAATTTGAAAACAAAGAATCTCAAGCATTCGACAAAGTTTGGCACGTAGGTGTTATCTCCAAAATTAAATCCATATTTTCCCATCCCATAAGTTCACTTTTAAGATCCTATCTAACAGAAATAAGACAAAAGAGGTAGGGAAATTGTTCCCAATATGTTCCGGAGTTCCACAAGAAACCATACTAGGACGCACCCTTTACATAATATACACATTAGATGTCCCAAGCGCGAACAATACAACAATCGCTACATATGCCGATGGCACAATTCATTGCTTTAAATTATACAGCAACTGAAGCATCGCAGGTATTACAAAATCATCTGCTTAAACTAGAGAGTTTGCTTAAACTGTGGTGAGTCCAAGTCAACAGTTTAAAATCAACATATATAACGTTTACTTTAAAAAAAGGTGAAGCGTCACCAATTTCTATAAACAACACCAGTTAATAGCGTCGTTAAATATCTGGAAATCTTTGGATCTTCATGTGCCATCTCCTCTAAAAAGGTTGGCAACCATCATGGCAATTCGCACTTTCCATACCGCTGCTCTAAAGAGGTCAGTAGAAGTGCAGTTAAACCAAGCTCTCAAATTGTTTAACCAGGAGATGCGCCTTCTTCCGCGACTTCTTCTACCCTGTATTCTTCCTTGCATTATTAATAGCAAGAAGTTATAACGCTCGCTCTTCATGACATGTTCCAGATATTGCAGTTTTCTGACTTTAATTGTATTTAAAATATGTTTATCTTTTCCTATTCTTCTCAACATCTCAACATTGTTGTCCATGTATTGTTATGTTTTCTTGGCGCTGTTGGGATTTTGTAATTACCATAAATTGTGTCTTTTTTGTGTTTAGGGACAGTCCGTTTACTTCACTGACTTCTACCACTCTGCCAACCATTTGTTGTGAATCCTCAAGACATTTCGCTAATAAAATAGTGTCGTTGGCAAACCGTATATTATTAATTGGTCGGCCATTTACTTTTATTCCCATAGTTAGTTCTTCTAGTGCTTCCTGGATTATTTCGTCTGAATACAAATTGAACAAAGTAGGAGACAGAACACAGAATTGCCTGACGCCGCTTTCAACCTGTATTTCATTTGAAAAGACGTTGTTCTCTTTTACCACAACAATCTTATTATAATAGATAGCGCTAATGATCCTAATGTCTCTCATGTTTAAGTTTAGCTTTTCAAGTAATTCGATAAGACGGATATGTCTGACCTTATTTATTTGGATAGTAGACTTAATTGGGGCATCCACATCTAGAAGAAACGCCTTCAGTTCATCTTAATCTACAGGAAAATCTATTGATACACGAGTCTAAAATCAAATCTTAGCCTGGAGAACAAACTTCTGATTTACAAATGTATTTTAAATCAGATATGGCTATGCGCAGCACAAATCTAGGTACAACAAGTAATACCAACATACAAAAATTTCAACGATTCTAATGGAGAGTACTGCACCAAATCTGCAATGCCCCTTGGTTTATTACGAACCACAAATTTCATCACAGTTCAATCACAGTTACCAACAGTTAGCGAAGCAATATCTTCTGTAAACTCTCCCTACAAGACCAAACTATCTTGCCATCCAAATCCGCTGTCCACGGATGTGGCTCAACATTTCGCATAAAAGAATATTATTAAGACCAAACCCTTTGATCCTCTAGTACATTTGGAGAAACAGAGTATTGGCGACGTGCAAGTACTTGGATGTGATACGAGAAACGATCGTGCGCGAGTAGCGAAGAAATCTTGCATTTTTTACTGCAAATTTCATAGATTCCATAAATTCATATTGTCAATTGTCATGTTTCATATTCGTTTGTTTATTTACACCTGCTTTCACTGAAGAAAATGGGATTTAGGAAATGCTGTGTTATAAATTGTAAAAATACAACAAAAAATTGTCATTTTAAGTTTTGTTCGTTTCCAACTTCGAAGCACAAATTACTACAAAGAGAAAAGTGGATTTATATCATAAATAAGCTAAGTAACATAACCTAAATTATGCATTATTCTTGCGCCCGATTTTAAAGTCAGTTTGAAATAAATAATAAATAAAAGTTCACTTTTAAGTGTAAATTTTAGTTTCATAACACTCACTTAGAGTTCATTTTAACCCAAAAATCAAGTTTAATGTTTAAATTTTATTTGAAGTTTACAAAAATGCATAAAGTTCAAGTTTTTCTGAAGGTGCATTAAGATATATTCGCTGTCCAAAAGTTTAAAGGGAAAGAATTAATTGTTCAAACCAATATGATGATATCGTGGGCTTAACCTGCTAATTGATGCATTTATGAATTAGCATTATTTATGGTCATTTATTTTTCTTAAATCTTCCATAAAATTCTTCCATTTTTTTTGACATTTGCCACTACTAAAGCTTTTCCATTTGACTCAATGCTTGGTTAAAAAGTTATTTGGTGATTTACTTTCTCAAATCCAGTTTTTATTATTGCATCCATATTAACAGTAATGCTGTAATTTAATAATATTTATTTGTATTTATACTACATACAACGTTTACCTTTTAAAAACATACCGACATAACCTGAATCTTAGTTTTTCTTCTTATTCTTTTTTGGGGCTACGTCCTTGACAGTTATCCGGTAACCTCGATCTAACATGAATGCGCAGTAAATTTTGCTGATTTACGACACCAGGTGTCGCTGTTCCGAACTTGCACGGTCCCAATAGTGTCATAGTCCAGTAAAAGACCAAGTTTTTAATTTGGTTTTTTAAATCTTTTCCCGATTTTTTTTAGACTTGTGATACTCATATTGCAAAAATTTTGAAATTTTGTAAATATACATCCGGACAAGTTATTATAATTAAATATATAATATACATAATACATAATACTTTTTAGATAATTAATGAAAACAAATTGCTTGAGAAAATTAAAGAAAAATAAATGAAAAATAACTTAACAAATGCAACAATATTGGATTTTGTCTTTTTTTATTTTTGTTAACTAAGTATAATAGTAATCTAAGTATCTTATTGCACCTTTAGTATTTTTAGCAGAGAATAGAACACACAGAAAAAAATTCATTATAAACAGAGTCGTAAAATCCTTATAAAATTCTTAAAAATTCAGCGTAGGCATAAAAAAGTCCCAAATATGGTAACGGCAGCCTACACATTTATTTTAACTATGACGAGTTCACTAACTACAGCAGCGGGGAAGAAAATATTGGAAAGGGTATTAAAGAATCATAAGTAATTTTTGTTTTATCATTTAAACACAAAACCACATCAACCGAGCAATTATTAGTGGATATAACAAATACATGAAAGATTACATTAAATACAGTTGAATAACTTGATGCTTTTTAAATAGCTTAACACTGTTGAAATTTTTTTGGTAAGAAATGTTGTAAGATCAATCAAGCAGGATATGTTTGATAATCAGTGGGTAAGAGCAGCTGGAGCATATAGGTAGTGGTTCTTTTGTTATTAGGTATTTTGTGTGTTAAGACAGTATGGCCAATTCTTAGACGGTTAATAATAACTTGGATTCTTCTGTTTAAAGGACTCTCCAGGGCAGCATTTATTTTTGGGCAAATTACATTTAATTTTGTACCTAATTTTTCACAATAATTTTGCCAAGGATTAGTACAGTGGATTTTCACCAGGTTTTTTAGATCGGTGTACGAATATGTTTTTAATTTTGCAGTATGGTTTAAGTTCAGTTGACTTTTGTTTGCCAATTGATCTGCTTTTTCGTTTCCGTAAATACAAGTATGTGAAGGTACCCAAATAAAAGCCGCTTCCTTTCCTAATGGTCGGAATGTTTCTATTTCGTTTTTTATGTTCTGTGTAATAGGGTTGTTGGTATATATTTGTTTCAGTTCCAGTAATGCATTTAATGAGTCTGTTACGATAATGCACTTCATCGTTCTACTTTTTTTACCTGTTAGTATACCGCAATTTGTTGGTATCGATATGCTGTAAGAATTTTCGTTACAGTAGTAGGCAGCAGCGCGACCATTGGGAGGTATAGAGGCATCGGTAAAGATTTGCAAATAATTAGGATAGCGGTCTAGATTTTCCATGAATAGAGATTTAGTTATTGTGGAATTTGCAGTTGATTTGGGATACTTTGTAAGTGTTAAGTTAATAGTTAATGGGATAAATAATCTTATATGGACCAAATGTTCATTATTATTTGTATGCTATGAAATATTCGGTTGTAATTTAATTTTCTTACACCTTGAGTCAAATTGTGAAGTATTATCATTCCCGTTGTGTTGTGACTATTACAAAGTGATAACTCTTTTATGAATGTCGTATTATGCTGGATCTTTCTTTAGTATTACTTTATACTATGTTTTATTTTAATTGTAGGTAATAATTAAGCAATTTTTGTTTTTTTACACACTCTAAAAAATTTTTGATTCTTTTTTAAATAATATTTTCCTCGTGTTTAGTATGTTAATTGGCCTACACTATTTGTTCCCTTCATGACACTTCTAACATGTTTAATAGGATCGTTGAATCTAAATTAATTTATATCAGGATACTATTCAGCGACTTTTCTTTTTGTGCAGCTTCTCTTAGAACTTTTTGTGTGTATTAGAAGTGTACAGAATTTTGAATTAATAAAATATATATTGTCCATACCAAGATACATAAAGAATAAAGAGACATCTAATATAAGAGGATATAAGGGAAATGTATTTTATAGTAACTATTTCTGTTTTGTATCAAACTTAGAGGTCGCCGGTTAAATGTTATTAGAAATAATAATGGAGAAAAAATGCAATATTTTGACTGTAAATACATTAACGAAAAATAGCAACTATCAATGGTGAAAACATTGCTAGAATTAACTAGCTTTACTCATTACTGATATCTATATAAAGAATCGACTTACCTTTTAATATATTATATATTCTTAGCCAGTGGATTAGCGTTGTAGGTCCAGTGTATCGAGGAGGACCGAGGAAGAGGGTATACCAATAAATCACTTTATTGTATTGCGATTTTGAATAGCGATAATTTAAGTTAGTTTTCACGGTAATATGATACTTTACATCAGTGTCTGTGTTTGCGACACAAAAATAAGAGAAGAAAAAGTCAAATTCAAATAAGTTTGGATATAACAGTAAGTTAGACAATATTATGTACAGTAAAAGAAAAGTAAAGAAAATTTAAAAATATGAAAATAAATACTACATACTTTTACAAATAATTTCTATAGAAAATGACCCCAATTGGGGAGTTTCTAAAAAAGATTTCAAAAAAAGAAAAAGCTAAATAAGGTATAGAAGTACCAATCGAAAATAAGTATTTCCTTATACTATTCGATACTACGATATAAAAGAAAAATATATATGGCTAAGTCAATGCAACTTGGTCACTAAAAATAAGTCAGTCCTACCTTAGATTCTTCGGGCACATAGTAAGATAAACAGCAGCCTGAAGAAATGATTATGAAGGTTAAAATTATTGTCAGTTATAAGGAATATCTTTTAAATGATGGGTGGATTAATTTAAAGTAATTATTGGCCGTGGTCTACACGAAACTTTCGAAAGATAAGGAGTTACGATCCAAGCTATCGCGATAGGACGTCACTACATTTTTCTGATCGTCAAAAGACAAAACAAAAAAATGCCTACGACAAAACATATTGCTAGAATTACAACAATAAAATAACAATAAAGGACTTTTTCTATTCTGTACACATTAACAGATCTGATGATCTTATTCTTCTTCAGTGCCTTATCCGGTCCGGATGTTGGCGATCATCAAGGCTATCATGGTTTTGTTGCTGCCAAATACTTTACCCCACATATTGAGTTGACGAATTCAATATTTTTCTTCGTTCCGCTTCACGAGGTACTCAAGCTTACGTTGTTTCACTAAATTAAGCACTTCTTTTTCTTTTAAATTCTGTATCTTTCGCTACCTGCCATTAGTGCCCCGGGATTTAAATTTGCACTGCTGACAACCATGAATTTAGTTTTCTTAAGATTAAGCTCTAATCCGTACGTTACGCTCACAGTTCCTACTCGGTCTAGTAAGGCTTGTAGATCATTTAGGATGGTTGCTAGTAACACTGTGTCATCGGAGTAGCGGATATTATTGATGTATTCACCGTTCACTCGGGTTGCCATCTCTAGGTTTGTGACGGCTTCAGTAAAAATTTCCTTAGAGTATATATTGAAAAGAGTCGGCGAGAGCACACAGCCTTGCCTTACTCCTCGCATGATCTTCACTTGGTCGGTCAGCCAGTCTTCGACCTTGACTTGAGCACGCTGGTTCCAGTATAAATTCGTGATGATCCGAATGTCCTTCTCATCCAATCCTACTCTTTGTAGGGCGGCGAACATCTTCTGGTGCTGACAACGGTCAAATGCCTTGGCGTAGTCAATAAAATAAATATAGACATCGCGGCATCTCTTAAGTAGAACTTAAGGTAAGGTGAAAAGTGCTTCACGTGTACCCATGCAATTGCGGAATCCAAATTGCATTTCAACGACATTTTCTTCACATTTCTTGTAACTTCTGGCATGTATGATTTTAAGAAAAATCTCAAGTGCATGACTCATAAGGCTGATAGTTCGGAAATCTTCACACGTTTTCGCAGATCGTTTTTTTGGTAGTGTTATAAATGTTGACAATCCCCTCTGGAATATTACCTGAATCGTATATGGCGTTATCTGGTGATGAGTGTTAATATTCTTCGAGAGTTCTTTTCTCTCTATTAACACTTGTTCTTCATCTTTCACCATTCTATGTTGCTCGTTCTGCAAAGCGGAAGAAGCAAGCATACTTGCTTATGATCAAGATGAAATTAATTTGGTTCCTAACCATATGTAATTCTTTGAAGTTGAGACCGTTCAGAATTAGCCGAAGGAACTCATATCTTGGCCCTCTGATTATATGTCCAAGATATTCTAGTTTACGCCTCTTAATAATATTTAATAGAGTTCGTTGATGTCCCATTCTTCGAAGAACTTCTTCGTTTCTGGTTCTGCCAGTCCATGGAATTCCGATTATACATCTATTATTAACCGGTAAAATGAAAATAATTACAGTATATCCTGAAGGTAAAAATATCTGAAAATATGTTTAAATCATTTATCTCATCTCATATCATAAGTTTTTCTTTGAAAATCAATCTTTATTACAAACCGTTAACTCGATACTGGTTTAGTAAATACAATATTTTTAAAAAACGAAATAGACCCGACACTGACTGTCTCTGTTATATTTTTAAGGTGAATGGCAGCATATTTGAATATAAAATTTTCGACATCATTTAATTTATATTTTTTTGATGTAACACTATATATTTCACGGCGTACATCAAAGATTTTTTTCTCTTACATGAAAGTATTGTAAATTAATAAAATGTCTGCTATCGGGAAATTTTTTAATGAAAAAAAAGTTATATGAAATATAAAGAGAAAGTAAAACGGTGGGTATTTTCATGCGCTTAAGATATTGTATAGATACATGATTATAATCATAATTCTCTTGTCAGTGTCTTGTTTCTTTAACTTATTTAACTAAAAGCTTTCCTTTTTCATCTGATGGAGCTTTTCTAACAGATGACATTTATCACGTTTTTTTTTTGCTATTTTACTTTCAACACACCAGTTACATCTTTTTTTGCGATGTTGAAACATCCTTATTGTTTTACAGAGCTTATATACGATCCATTATAGATTATGGTGCTACTCTTTATGGTTCTGCGTCTAGAAATCTTCTAAGAAAAATTAACATTTTTCAAAATTCTGCCTTAAGGGTCTGTTTAGGCGCTATGAGATGTGCCCCTATACAACCACTACATGTTGAAGCTTATGAGCCTCCTTTTGCGATTAGAAGAAATTTATTAAGCGAAAAAAGGTACTCAAAGCCTACTTAACAAATCTCAAATTATTTTCCAGTATACGTCAACTTAACGAATCAGATCTCACTCACAAATATTGGATTAAAAAGATATCTTCACCTTTGTGCACTGCTTTACAGAACAATTCTATTTTTTCAAAGAATTTGGCCAAAGTGGACAAAAATTTAGACTTCTTTGCTCTCTTCCATAAAACTGAATGGTTTGGGTGCCATCCATAATATTTCTTTCTCGCCTCCTTCTTTGTAATTACATGAAAAGGAGGAAGCTCAAGTAGGGAATTCATAGCTGCCGTTAGTGTGTCTGATAAACTTTGTGATTCCGAAGCGAGCAAGTCTGTGCACCTTGCTTAATTTAAGGATAACATTGTTTTACTGCGGCTTTGGCTACTGATGGCTGTATCAATATAGCATGTCTGGTTTTTATGAGTGCATGTGGCTACCATTAACGTCGTTACCCTTTTCTTAGTCATTCGTTATATCTGTGTATCGAAATGCTATACGCTAAATAAATTCGTTCTATCTGCTGATTTTAAGTGACACTTGAGTCTAATATGACCCCAAAACCCCAAGATAGTTGTTTTCACTGACCAGATATGAATGTGTACCTTTTGGGTTAAAAAGATTCTGTATTTCTTGTTCTAGTAAATTTTATGATTACGTACCTGGGGGTTTATGTTAGGCCCTATATTTGAAGTCGATTCCTAACTACAGTCAAAGCCTGTTACATTATATCTCCATTAAACAGAAACTGTGCCATTAAATTTAAAGAAGAACAGGTTATATAAGCCAGTAACGTTGCATATATGATACAACTTCTAAACATGCAGTCTATCTATCTGCGGCTTGTTTAGTCTATTCCTTTTAAACGAATCGCCCTCATAATTGTTTCGTAAGAGAAATTCAAATACTTCATTTATATCGAGAAAAGCACTCAACAGTATCTCTTGGTTTTTCAGAACATTACAAGATGGTACAGTGCCGTTTCGAAAAATACTTCTCGATACACATACTGTCCCTGATACTTCAACCAATATACCATCTCTATTATACCAATGGATAAGTTTTCTAAATTCTTTAATACGAATGACATCAGATTTATCAGCCTCGTGGGCTTGCTGTTCCTATCTGGTTTTGCCAGGTTTGGGTATAAAAGCTATCCTCATTGACCTCCATGATTTTAATATGTACGCCAGTCCTAAACGAGCATGTAGCGGTTATATATTGCCTACCATATTGGGATCACTTATCTTCTTCTTCTTTAAGTGCCGTCTCCTTTAAGAAGGTTGGCTATCATCACGGCTATCTTCACCTTTGACACTGCTGCTCTAAACAGCTCAACAGAGTTACAATTGTACCACTGCCTCAAATTGTTTAGCCAGGATACACGTCGTCGGCCTATGCTTCTTCTGCCCAGTATCTTTCCCTGTATAATGATCTGCAGCAACTCATATCTCTCACCTCTCATGACATGACCCAGATACTGCAA